TTCTTGGCAGCCCAGTGAGCCTGGCCCTTTGCTGTTGGTCTGGGTTGGCCTGTCCTGCTTGCCCAGGTGGGAGAGGCCAAATGACAGCTTGGAGTGAAAGGAAGGCTGAAAAGAGTGAAACCTGTGGCCCCGGGTGGTGGAGCTGGGAGGCGGCCCCCAGGACTCCCGAGTGCTGGGGTGTACAGTGCAGGGATTCCAGGGAGCCGTCTCCTTGCCCCTCCCCACCCCAGCCCACCACCTCTGCACAGGGAGGGGCCGGTGTGTGGGTGTGTTGTGGCCAGTCCAGGCGCCCCGGAGCCTCTGTCCCCTGCGCCTTTGTCTCTTGTGACACAATGGGTGGCTTTTGTCCCCATAAAGTCCCTTTCACTGTGGGAAGAAGGGTCAGGGCAGGGGTGGAGGCTGGGTCTGGCCAGGCCAAGTTCAGCGTGTCCTCAGCTGCCCAGATGTGTGCCTGTGAGGGGGAATCCCAGAAGGGCTCATGTTGCCCCCGGCTCCCAGTTTCCTGGATAGTGTAGTGGAGAGAAGGGAGTTCTGGCAGCTTTTGGGTGGGGCCCCATCCTCACATTATCTCCAAAACCTTTGGGTTCATTGCCAACATTTAAAAAGCTGAAGATTTCACATAGGAATTCAGATTTCTAGTGTCTCTTGGAAAATTGGAAGTCTTGGCTGCCCCAGGCTGCATTCCCCTGACACCAGTAGGCTGCTCTCCGCTCCGTACTTCCCGCCTGGACAGCCTTGGCCATTTCTGTGACCTGCCTGCCTTGGCTGAGTTTGAGTCCCCAGTGTCAGCATCCAGGCTCAGAGGTGCTGCCACTCTTTGAGGCACCCCACTCTGAGAGGTAAGCCCCTCTCGACTCCCTCCCGGAGATCCCAACGGCCCTCATACCACACCCGACCACTACAGCTGTTGACATTTTCCTTCACAGTATTTTACCTGCAATGACACCCCTGTGAGGTGACCGGGATGGGTGTACCTGCCTAGTCCTCTCACATGTCAGATAAAGAAACATCAGAAAGTTTGGGTAACTTTCCCAAGGTCAAACAGCAAATCCACAAGGGTCTGACCCAGCCCAGGAAGTGGAGAGGGATTAGAAGAGTGACCATCTTTGGGTGGGAGAAGACTTAGCTTAGTGCTGGGGGTGGTGGGGTCCCTCCAGTACCAGGGGGAGAGGGCTTTGGGCCCCGCTGCGGGAGGTGTGTAGTTGGAGGAGTGTCAGGCCCAGGCTGAAGGGAGCCTTGGAGAGCACTAAGTGGAACCTCCCTGCTCCCATTGTCTGAGGGACATACTGAGGTCTGAGGATGAAGGGTTCTCCCCAGAACCCCTCAGCCTGTGAGGAACAGAAGGAGTGTGCTTCCAGGAGGCATTCTAGGGCCGGGCAGGGCTCCCTTTCTGGGGCCTGCCCTTCAGATAAGCCTGGCTGCCTTATCTGAAAGATGGGTGGGGCCCACACTGGCATGGGGCCCTGAGCTGCCAGGCACCATGCCTGGTGTTTAAGTTCAGATGCGTCCTTTATCTCAGTGAGGCCTCACACCTCTGGAAACTGCACACACAGTTACTTCTACTTCAGGAATATGGGCAGAGAATGGATTGGAAAACCCATAGTCCAGCCTCTCAGGTTGATAATGACAGTGGAACGTGTTGATCTAAGTCCCTTACATTTACTACTTTCTTTAATCTCAGAACTACCCCCTGAGGTAGGTACATTTGGAGGATGAGGACACTAAGGCACAGAGAGGTCCAGCAACTTGCCCCGGGTCACATAGCTGGTAAGTTGGCAGGGCCAGAGCCTGAACCCAGGGAGGTAGTAGGCCAGCCCTCCATCAGAACTGATGTCAGTATCACAGTTAAGTCAGATGGTGACTTCCGTCAGCTGTCAAAGAGTAGCTAAGAAAGATGTGTTGGTTTCCTGGGGCTGCCATCACAAAAATACCATAAACTGGGCTGCTTCAGACAATAGAAATCTGTTGTCTCACAGTCCTGGAGGCTAGAATTTCAAAATCGAGATATTAACATAGTTGGTTCCTTCTGGAGGCTCTGAAAGAGAATCTGGTCCGTGCCTCTCTCCTGGCCAATCCTTGCTATTCCCGCTGCTCACAAGTCACCTTCCCAGTGAGATCTTTCTTGGCCTCTTATCTGAAATTGCAAATGACCCTACTGCCCATTCCTTCTCAGCTGCAGTTTTCCCATAGCACTTAGCCCTTGCCCTGTGGCTTGCTTGCCCACATTCATCGATGCACTGGGCTTTTATCTGGGTCCCCTCCATAGAGTGGGAGCTCTGGGAGAGCAGGTGTTTTGTCTCTTTGGCTCACACAGTAGTAGGTGTTCGATAGATACTTGTTGAATGAATGGTCCCAGAGAGGGGCACCTGAGCTGCAAGGCGACTATCCTGGACAGAGGGGCCTGGATCACACCCTGGAGACAGGTGGCCCTCCTTTGCTCTCTACCCTCGGCTACCTACTCCTGTCCCCTTCCCTCTGAAAAGTGGGATTTACTCTTGTCCAGTAGACCACAGGACAAGTCCTCCGGCCCCTTCTTCCAGCTACAGGAGGGGTCTTTGGCCAGAGGGGGGATGAGGCCGTCAGGCTAGCAGAGGGGTTGGCAAATGTGGGGCCTCCCTGTCCTGAGTGGGGTCTCCCTGGGGCCCTGGGCTGGGGTGCGCCATTCAGATTCCTGGGGCCGGGGGAGAGTGGACAGGAAAAACCAGTCTCTCTGGTTCCAAGGGAAGAGTGGACCTTTCCTTGTTTGAGGGCAGAAACCAAGGCGGCTCCCAGGGCACAGGGCCAGGTTGGCAAAGCCAGGAGGAACCCCAGAAATTCCCGCTGCTTATCCGGTGGCTTTATCTCTCAGAGGCTGTGCTTGCTGATCTGGAAACCAGGGCTGGGCTGGAGGGCAGGGCAGAGCCAAGGGACAGCTCAGGTGTCCTCATCTTTCATGTGTTACTAACTCACTCTCAGTAGCCTGGGTTCTAGAGAAGGTCAGAGCTGGGTTCAAATCCTACCCTGCCCTACCCCCAACTCTGGGGGGACCTATGGGCAGCTGCAGATATTTCCCTCTGAGTTTCTGTTTGAAAAATGGGGGAAATATATAGTACACACCAGTGAGGGGGTCATAGGGAAACCGTGAACCAAACAGGGAGTGGCTTACCTGAGGCCCGGCATGGACCCGGAGGGCGTTTAGTGGCGTTCAAGGAGTAATCGTACCAGTAAGTGGTAGGTACATGTTAGGCTGAAGCCAAATTGGTCTTCTCTTGATTTTCAGTTCAGTGCATTTTCTGACTTCCTTTTCTGGTGGTTGAAGCAGTAGCACATTGGCCTGGGGGCCCATCAGGACCCCGTTTGACGTGGAAGGATGATTGTCCCTGACGAGTCTGGTTCTTAGCTGGGAGGGTCCTGCAACAAGCTGTGTTGGTGGGGGAGGGGTTCTCCTTCAGAGCAGTGGCCTCACCCAGCTCTGGGGGCTCTTGGCCGCCCTCATATGTCGTTCTCAGGCAGGGTGCCTGAGGATGGGTGGTAAACCTGGGGGTGCTGTGCTGAGACACCCCAGCTCTGGGTCCTCGCTGGTAACAGCTCTGTTGCTTACTTGCGTGCCTGCAGGCAAGGCCCTGCCGCCTTCCTCCCCCCTAAATTGGGCCATCCAGGCCGCTGCCAGCCCATCTCTGGTGGGTGGAGAGGGGCAAGGCCAGGAGCATATCACCGATTCACCCCTGCTTCCTGTGCTGGGCAGGTTTCTGACCCCCATTTCATGGATAAGGAAACGGAGGCTCGTTAGTTCTGCACACGCATCTACTGACCAGATACCTCTGGGCCCTGGAGATACAGCAGTGACCAAACTCGGACTCCTCACGGTACCTGCATTCTGGTGGGGAGACTGGAATTGTTCCCCGGGAGCTGCACAGAGAGGGAAAGGAGCTTGCCCAGGGTCCAACAGCATGGGCAGGATTAAAGCCCAGCTGTTGGCTTTCAGGCTCCAGGGCTCCACCTCCCACTGGGAGGAAAAGTCAACCACACCCCTCCCCGGCCTCTTAGGCAGGAGGGGCAGGACGAGGAGAAAGGAGCATTGTCCTACAGATTTTTGGACTCAGCTAAGGTCATTCCTGTCCTGACCCCTCACATGTAGGGGAATGGGTACGCAACATGCCTTCAGTCCTTGGCGGGGCGCTGGGGTGGGAGCGCGCAGCAGGTTCCCAGTGCTGGCTGTGCTCGCTGGTGAGCACCAGCTCTCTGGGGGCTGGTATAGGAGCTTTTGGCCAAGGGGCCTTTTTGTTTCCAGAACCAGCAGCCAGAGATGGATTTGGCTCTTGAGCCATTTCTCTCTGATCTGTCTGATGGTTAGCTCATTCTCCAGCTGTGGCAGGGTCCCCGTGAGCCTTGCTGCCACAATGCCTGGATGCCATCCAAGAGAGAAGAGGGACAGTTGTCTTGGTGCATCTTTGTCAGCAAGGGAGCCTTTCTCCAGAGCTCCCCATTAGACCCTCCCTGCCTCCGCGCTAGCGCTGAATCATGCCTAGCTCCAGAGATTGCAGAGCGTGCCCTTGTGGAGAAGGGAGGATGCCTCAGCCTCGGGGATCTCGGGCAGCAAGGAAGGGGGTGAAAGCTGTGGAGGAGGCCAGGATGGCTCCATGGGAGGTGTGCTGACTGTCTGGATGCAGCTGTGAGATGGTCATTGTCCTGCCCTCAAGGAACTCAAAAGTCAGGGGAAGGAAACAGAGTCTGGTCCTGGGTGGTGGGTGCCTGGGGGGCCAGGAGGGCACAAAAGAAGTGTTCTAGAAGCCAGACTGGAGGACCAGGGGGAAAGTGTCCTATGGTGTGCAACGTTTCAACTGAGATCTGAAAGGAGGAGTTACCAGGCAAGGGTAACTCCCTTACCTGGTATGCAGTAGGAGCCACATAAATGTTTCTTTGACTAAATGAGAAATGTGTCCTGCAGAGTGAGCCCCGTGGCCTCTGGCCGGAGTGTTAGGGGCTCTTGGGGGACTCTTGGCCCTGTCTCGTCCCTCCAGGTGCTGGGGCTGCTGGTATGGGCCCTGATTGCCGACACCCCATACCACTTGTACCCGGCCTACGGCTGGGTCATGTTCGTGGCTGTCTTCCTCTGGCTGGTGACAATCGTCTTCTTCATCCTCTACCTGTTTCAGCTGCACATGAAAATGTACATGGTGCCCTGGCCGCTGGTGGTGAGTCCGGGTGGGAGCATGGCGTTGTGGGGGGATGCCTCAAGGCTGACCCCTCTGCCTCTGGGAGGAGCTGTGACAGAGGCACCTTCCCTGTCTGAGATGTGGCTGGTGGGGGTTGGCCCTCCGCCAGCTGTAGAGCTGAGTGGGGGAGGGAGGATCCATGGCCACAAATTCAGGAGGACATAGACTTGGCTTTCTTCAGAGAAGGGAGAAGTGAGGCGCGCGCTCTCTCTCTCTCTCTTTTTTTAAAGATATTATTTGTTTATTTGAGAGAGAGAGAACACAAGCTGGAGGAGCCCCAGGCAGAGGGAGAGGGACAGGGTGAAGCAGACTCCCCGCTGAGCAGGCAGCCGGACATGGGGCTCGATCCCAGGACTCTGGGATCATGATCGGAGCCAAAGGCAGACGCTTAACCACTGAGCCACCCAGGTGTCCCTGTGAGGGCTCTCGAATGGAGAGCCCCCTGCATTTGGAATCTTGAAAGTGTTTTTCTGTTTTATGGGGGCAGTTGGGATTTGAACCTGTGTTTCAGGAGGTCTGTCAAGACTCTCCCAGCCCTCAGCCAGACTATCAGGAATTACCCAGAATAAGGCCCCAACAGCTTGGGAGAGGGTGGCCTCCCCGCTTTGTCCAGGTCAGTCTTCTCGGGACACAGAGCTGAGAGTGGCCATAGGAAGTTCCCCGGCCAGACACAGAAAGCTTGCTGGGCTTTTTTCTCTGACCTGGAAAACCCCTGCAGCTGGGGTCTGAGGCTTTCAGTGAGCGGAGAGGCAAAGAGAGGCACATGATTGTAAGACAAGCAAGGCTGGGACTAGGCGGCATTGTGTGGAATTCAATGACTGTTTAAACTGAGGAAACGTGAGTCATCCTCAAGACAGAACGGGTTTGTTAGATCTTGACATCACTGGCAGGAGCCAGGCAGTGTTTGTGGTGGCCGCTGGGCTTGTAGGGAAGATCCTGGGCTGAGGAGGGGACGGCCGGACTTCCTGGCGAGGGTCCAGTCCCGGTCATGGCCACGTCCTAGGAGCCTTGAAGAAAGAAATCTCCCAAGATGGCGGGGACCTCAGTGTCTCTGAGCACAGACCTGGGGCTCCGGCCACAGCTCTTGTTGGAAAGAGGCTCCTTTCCTCGGCCAAGATAGCAGAACAGTGTCTCTTTGGCTGCTGGGCCTATTGGCAGATAAGGCTTGGCTGCATCTGGAGACGACTGGATTGGGATTGTCAAATTGGCATTTTCTGGGATGGGGACTGCAAGCTCCCTACCGGACCTGGGCAAGGTGAGTGAGTGATGTAGGTTGAGGAGGGGTTCTGGAGAACCTGTACCCGTCCGTCTGTAGGGAGCCACCTCCTACTGTCAGTGGGAGTGCAGGCCCCTTGGTACCAAATCTTGATATTTTAAGATTGAAAGTTTTATATGAGCTCTTTGGGTTTTCATATGAAATCTCATTTTCGGGGCACCTGGGTGGCTCAGTCGGTTAAGCATCTCCCTTCAGCTCAGGTAATGATCTTGGGGTTCTGGGATCGAGCCCCACGTCGGGCTCCTTGCTTCTCCCTCTCTTCCCTGCTCATGCGCTCTCTCACTATCTTTCTCTCTCTCTCAGATAAATGAAATCTTTAAAAAAAAAAAGCTTTAAAAAAAATCTCATTTTAGAATGTTGATAATTTTTTTTTTTTTAAATCTATAGGTTGAACCAAATGTGCCTGAGGGCCACCAGTTTGCAGTCTCTGCTAAGACTGTTTATGGGCTCCAGGGGCCAAGTGTTGGGGAAATGGGACTCGGGCCTGAATGTCAGCCGAGCGTCCCTTCTGCCAGTCAGCCCCAGAATCCAGCTGGGTCCTCACCCTGGCATTTGACATGGCGGCCTTGAGTCTAGGATGTGGCCAAAAGGCAGACAGAGATTCCCCCGTGGTGGGGCAGAGAGGGATGGGAGGTCTTCCCAGGGCCAGCCTCAGGACCAGGGTCCACAGTGCCATGAATGGGGGCCAAGCTTGCATGGAAGAACGTGGCCCTGGAATTCTTCAGCTGGTGCTCTCAGAGATGGCCTTCGTTTGGTCTCCTGCCATTGGGAATGGAGTTTTGCCTTGTGAGGCTGTCACTGCCCCTCCCCTGACCAGATCACTTTAGGCCTTCCCATCATTTCCCCTCCCCTCTCAGCCTTATGTGTGTTTATGCTCCCTGCGTGGATGTCCTATGGGTTGACCCCATGTGGACTGCCATCCTGAGGAGTATAGTGGGAAAGACCCATATATCTGTCCCCATCCTTGAGCCCCCAGCCCCTGTTCTGGATATTAAAGGGGTGTGCCGGGGCAACTGAAAGAGTTTGCCATCTTTAGCTTGTTCTCCCCTCCCCCCACCCCCTAGTTAATGATATTCAACGTGGGCGCCACTGTTCTCTACATCACGGCCTTCATCACCTGCTCTGCCGCTGTGGAGCTGACGTCCCTGAAGGGCACCCGGCCTTATAACCAGCGTGCGGCCGCCTCTGTGAGTATGGGTCCCTGGGGGTGCCCTTGGCAGTGATGGGGGAGGGGCGGGTCAAACCAAGTCTGTGCCTCTGGGCTCCCACCACCCCCTGGTTTGAGGCCAGCATCTGCCGCCTCCAAGGGACCTCCTTCTCAGGAGGGGCTCAGGGACGTGCAGGTTTGTCCTCCACAGTTAGAAGTAAACCTCAAGGAACTGCAACACTTGAAAATACTTTCAGTGGTAAATGGGAGTTTTGGGTTCACTGTTGAACTTTTCTGGCACACAGGTGCTTCATACCGATTTACAGTCTGTGTGCCCCCTTGGAGAATCTGTTAAAAACTGCCCACCCATCTTAAAAGGCGCACACAATACCTTTTGGGTTAAACCATTTGGGGGGATTTACAGCTCTCTCAGGAAGCCCCGACTTGGGCTTCATATCAAGCAGCCAGTGGCATACCAGCAACCCTGTCCACACCTGTCACGCTTCAGTCCACGGGGCCCTGTGCAGACATTACCTCACAGGACCCCTTGACTTCCACAGTGAGGGACTACCAGTTCCTCTGGACAGACAAGGAAACAGGCTCAGTGAGATGAACACGCCAAGGTGCAGTCCAGGGTTGGGCAGGAGCAAGACCAGTACATGGGTTTCCTTAGCTTCAGAATGTGGCTGCGGGGGCCAGTGTAGTCCACCTATGAACTGATTCCAGAGAATTCCTTGGATACTTTTTTTTTTTTTAAGATTTTACTTATTTATTTGACAGAGAGGCAGGGGGAGCAGCAGGCAGAAGGAGAGGGAGAAGCAGGCTCTCTGCTGAGCAGGGAGCCCGATGCAGGGCTCAATCCCAGGACTCTGGGATCATGACCCGAGCTGAAGACAGAGGCTTAACCCACTAAGCCACTTAGGTACCCCTCTTGGGTACTTTCTGAACATTGTCTTTTTTTTTTTTTTAATATTTTATTTATTTATTTGACAGAGATCACAAGTAGACAGAGAGGCAGGTGGGGGGATGGGTGGGAAGCAGGCTCCCTGCTGAGCAGAGAGCCCGATGTGGGGCTCGATCCCAGGACCCTGGGATCATGACCTGAGCTGAAGACAGAGGTTTTAACCCACTGAGCCACCCAGGCGCCCTGAACATTGTCTTTTTAAAACTAAATTCCTGATGTGTGTCTGAAGGAGCTCCTACCCCTCGGTCACTCTCAGCACACTGTCCAGTTGCCCGTGTCACAGTCTGACCTACCTTGCTGCATGGTTAGCCATGGTTTCCCCCACAAGAATGTAATGTCAGCACCCCTACAAACACTTGGGAAGTGAGTGTGTGGCTAATTGGAGTTGGGGTGGCTGCCAGTGCAGCTTGTTCTAGTTAAGTGGGGAGCACTACTTCAGGTTTTACTGTATATGCCCTTCTGAGGCTGTCTGGTGCTCGTATCTGTCCACCTTGACCCCCTCCCCCCATTGCCATGCTGCACACCAACTCAGCTTTGGTGTCTTCTTCCTCTTCCAGTTCTTTTCGTGTTTAGTGATGATTGCCTACGGAGTGAGCGCTTTCTTCAGCTTCCAGGCCTGGCGGGGAGTGGGCAGCAATGCGGCCACCAGTCAGATGGCTGGGAGCTACGCCTAGACCACGAGTGCCATGGTCCCCTTGGGGCCTTTGGCTGCAGCTGGGTCCCAGCGTGGGGCGGCCCGCAAGCCCGAAGCCTGAGCCCTCTGTGGAGTCGGCCTAGAAGGGACTACGCTTGCTCTGCTCTGCTCGTCAGACTCCTAAGGAATCAGGATCATTACTCTGGTTTGGCCCAAGTCAGCATGCACAGGGGCTGGAAGGAGGCCAGTGGCTGGGACCGCCTGCCCATCCTCCGTATGTAGTGGAAGGCGACGGGGGATACAGGCCTCTCAGTGTCTCTGCTTTGTCTTTAGAAGACCTCAGTGTCCCAGGCTGGGGCCCAGGCCTCTCAGCAACACTAAGTACACTAACAAGGACTCCAGACCTGCAGTCCCTGACCTTCTGTAGAATAAGCCTAACAAGCCATGTGTATTTATCTTAGTCTTTGTTCTGGGACCACAGAGCAAGTTTTTGAAACTGGTCTGGGTCCTTAAAACACAGGGGTTTTTTTATTACTGTTTTGGGGGGTTTTTTGTAAATAAGGCTTGAACTCACAACCCTGAGATTGAGACCTGAGCTAAGATCAAGAGATGGCTACTTAACCGAGTGAGCCACCCAGGTGTTCCCCCCGCCCCGACCCGGCCCATAAAACACAATTCTGACCCTCCCCCAAACCAAAGGCTGCTTTGAGGGAGACCTTTGCAGAAAGAGGGGTATGATTTCTGATGGCACGGTCTTCCTTTCCTGCATTTCAAACATACAAGTGATTTCAAACAATCCATTGGAAGCAACTTCTCAGTGATGAAATACCCAGCCAGCCTTCCCTCCCTCCCTCCAACCCTTGTTTGTAACACTCCCTTGGGGAAAAGCTAACCATGCTGATTGCTTCCCTGACACTGTTGATGAGGCACGGGGGACATGAAGGAGGGAGGGAATCAAGACCTTGCCTGGTAAGTTGTCCTGTGCTTGGTGGTGACTTTGTTCTTTGGGTTTTTTGTTTTTTGTTTTTTTTTACAAAAATAAAGATGGAAGAACTTATTTGGAAAAGGTGTTGGGTAATCCTGGTTGTAGATGCTTATAAATTCTGGGAAGGTGCAGGGAAGGGTTGCAGTGAGAGGTTCCAAATACCTGGAGTGGGCAAGTCCAGTTCTGGAGTCACTCAGCAGCACTCATGACATCCTTTACCAGAGGCGGCCTGACCCACTTCCTACCTGCCTGGCCATGTGTCCCGACAGGTTGAACATACCTTTTACTCTCCCAAGGGTCTCAGTTGAACACTGAATCATGACTCTAGCTTTAGGCTTCTTAGGTCATCTTGCTAGACTCAACGTTGCCCTCCTGTTAGCTCCCTTGAAGGTTTTGTGCAGTTCAGGAAGTGTGTCATCAAAGCCGATGACCACGCTTGATTCGGGAGGCTGGTGCAGACCACAGCGAGGGACGGTCCTCCCAACTGAGCTCATGCTTTTGCTGCCAGAGTAACAGGCTTTGAATGATCAGCTGAAGGCATTTCTGGGCACCCCTTGGTCCTTTTTGGACAACCCCGGGGACAATCAGAATGTAAATACAGTGGTCTCCCCTGTGACTAGTGGCCGACAGTCTGGAACCAGTTGGTCCTGCTGAGAAGGCTCACAGCAAGGTCACACTGCACCTGCGCCCTTCACCTCTCCTCATGTAGGTGCTGGGTCAGCTCCTATCATCAGAGGAATACAGGACAGTAAGAGATCTTGAGAGAGACCACACTCAAGTAACTTTCGTTAACAGTATATGTTTAGAATGGTTTTTATTGTTGTTCATCTCTTACTGTGTCTTTAGAAATTGAACTTTTACCACGGTGGAGGGGAGGATGTAGAGGGAAAGACACTGTATAGAGAGAGTTTGGTGCTATCCATGATCTCAGGTATGGGGGTGCTGGGGTCTTGGGACAGAGCCCCTGCTGATGGCGGTGTGGGGGCCGCTGTAGAGGCACACGGTTGTGGCAACGACTCTAGCTCTGGGGGTTGGGGATGTAGCCAGACACCCATGTCCCAGTCACCCTGGGACAGGCCCAGTTCGTGCCTGTTGCAAACACAAACAGCATCCCTTTTTACTCTTAAGTGCCTCAGAATTTGAGCAATTGCTAGTCATTCCAGGACTCAACCAGAGAAGAGAGTTCCGCGTTAAGGATCAACCCATTTTCTTTTGAGGCTAAAGAGGAAACAAAAATCCTAAGAAGTCTTAAAAGGTTTCTGACCCTGCTACAACAGCCTATTGCCTTGCAGATGTCAGTATGCTCAACTGGACTGTTTGCTTTTGGTTTAGGCCTGAGCCTCCCGACCCCACCCCCGATCCTTTGACCCTGCAGTTCAGGTGAATATTGCTTCCCACGGGTGAGGAGGCCACAGCAGTAAGTTGTATCGCTGTCTCTGAGGCTGGCCAGGATGTTTCTCATCCCCAGTCAGCCCTGAGCCCCATCAGAGGCGACACGCGAGGATGGAAGTTCCTCTGTCTCTGACAGACAGGTTTCTAGTTGGTGGATTTTTCTTTTTTTGTTTTCATTTTTTCAGATTTTATTCATTTCAAAGAGAGCCCATGTGCATAAGCATGAGCAGGGAGCAAGGGAGAAGCAGGCTCCCTGCTGAGCAGAGAGCTCAATCCCAGGATCCTGGGATTACGACCTGAGCCGAAGGCAGACGCATAACCAACTAAGTCCCCCAAGTGCCCTGCTAGTTTGTTTTATAAGAAATCAGAAAGCCTACCTGCTCATACTTAGCTACAGCAGGCTTGCCTGCTTTTTTTCCTCTACGCAGAAAAAAACTGTTTGTCTCTGTTCTCATTTTTCATAAGCGATTCTTTGGACCTCTCGACATCCATGGCTTTTTTTACACCAGGCAGACAGACCAACAGGTTTTCAAGTACTTTGACCAGGCCAGGCCTACAGTACCTGGTCCTCTATGAAAAGGGCAAGAAGGGAAAGCAAGGCCAGGAGGCAGAGCATTTGAAAAAGTTGGCTCTGAGAGTGCCTTTGGCTTGAAAGATCACAACAGCAGTGACCCAACAACAGCGGCGACAGTAAAGAAGACCCTGTAAGAATCGCGGTTCTTGCAACGTACCTCCAAGTTTACTCATGGTACAAAAGTATTTAATAAGCATCACACATCAGTACAGAAAAACACATAGTCTATATAGCTCATACTTGAAAACCAGAATGGGTGACTGAGATCAGTATAGAGTCTTACTTACAAAAAACACAGAAGGTACACACTGGGGATTGAAATACTACGTTCGTTCTTTCTAGAGATGTGACACCTGTGTTTCCTGGTCAGTACTTTCTATGAAACATTGTGCTAAATCAAAGCATACATGTGACCAGTGAAGTTGTCTGCTCTCTCCTACTTGCACTGAGCTCGCTCAGGGGAACACCATCTTGGTAGGGAGATTTTGACAGGAGGAAGGAACTAGAGACCCCACCCCAACAGAAAACCTAATAAACTTATTTATATAGAAAGGGTTTTAGCAAACCTGTACAAACACTTAACATGCTATTAGAAGGGGAGACCTTTGAGCCTACTTCCACAGCATTAAGCACATGCTCGTTGGTGCCCAGTAGACCAGGAAGGCCAACGCAGAAAGCATTTTTGCTTTCATAGCACTAACAGCTAAAAAGCACACAGCATATAATACTTTGATCTTTAAGTGGGTAATCTGGAAGCTCCAAGATTATATCCACTAGGTTAGCCTGAGTATTTTTCTATAAAAATATTTTTCTAAAAATGCTTAAGAGAATTCTAGAAACCGACCACATCAGGACCACAGAAGACAGTGATGCAAGGACTGCCAAGTTTAAGACAAGGAAATGATTTCCACATGTAGCTTCAGGTAAGGGACACCTCTCAGTTGATTCCTACAGCCCAAAGTAGCTGGAATGGGAAGAGCTGCAGAGAGCTCAGCTGAGCAGGCAGCTGGCTTGACTAAGAGCCTAGAGATATGTTCTCCCACAGGCAAAAAGCCCACTGAGGCTGCAGGTCTGAGAGTGATGAATACAGAGGGCTGTGAGCAACACGAAAAGCCTGGAGGACATGCAGAGCCTGTTGAGCCAAAGAGGCCTGGAGGTGACCTATCAACACATATGCTGGGGAAGTGGCCCCAGGGCAATGCCAAGCTCCGGAGCCTCATGCAGAGGCCTGAGAGGGGTCTGCCTGGGGAGGAGTGCTAGGATTACTGAACACAAGAAGGTGCTTCAGGGTCTCAGGAGGGTCAGACCATTGTCTTGACCCATCAATACTTAACATTAATAAGGAGTTGCAGAGCAGTCAGTCTTTCTAACATGTATTCTGTCACATTAGCCAGAGCCTCCTCCGTCTACTGGGCTGGCAACATCCAGAAAGATCCCATTGCTTGGTGGTGAGACCTATGGTCGCAGGTCATTCTGGGAAGCTGGCACAGAAGAGGATTTGCACAATGAAGTCACCACTAAACCACTGCTTAAGTCCAGTCCCCGGCCTTCTTTTTCCTGCGTGAGAAAACAATCTTAAGAAGCAAGGAATGGGGGTGGGAGAGTCCTTTCTAGCCCAGTACCCTGCCTCAGGCATGGGGAAGGAGGTGCTCGCCGGGAGGGTAGGCCCCAGTGTGGAGCAGACTAGAGAGGGAAGGAGGTTATTTGGCATTCTTGTTCAGCACTGGCCCCGTCACTCTAAAAAATGTTCCTCCCTTGGCTGAAATATTTTTTTCCTATTAAAATCCTACCTTATAAAAAGGCAAGGCAATTAGACCTCTTCGGTTTTGTTCTTTTAATTAGTGAGGGTCTATAAGAGATACTGGGACCTGTTGCGACAACACATGAGCATGCAGTTCCTCAGTAGGGGTGTGGGATCCCTGTCGGAGGACAGCAGCTCCCGCTCCTAGTACCTTACTAGCTGCCAAACTGACACTGGCCAGTTGTGGGGAGAAACCTGGCAGCTGGTCTGTGCTTGACAGGCCTACATGGAACTTTCTCTGGTTCAATGTGGCTGACAAAGTGAGCAAGAGTGACTTACTGCTCTGTAGTCCAGAAACATTTCTTTAAAAGCCAGAAAATCTGTAAACGTGAGGAGCATGTCAAATATGTCACCAGCCACTTCATCTTTATGGTGCCTGCAAAAGAAAAGGATGGCCATTTCATGAACGACTGAAATAGATTCTCTTCAAGATTCCACTAGAGGGTTTTGAGGGCCTTCCATCCCAGAACCCAACCACCCAGAGCTCTCAACCTTTAGGTTCATGCAATGAAGAAAAAAGGGGGTCTTTTTCAGAGTGGAGGAGGAGGAAGGGGGAAAAAGATAAAAATGCAGAGTCAAGCTCAACTCACTGTAAAGTCGTGGTGAAAGCCGCCATGTTAAATCCAGGAATCCGCTCCAGCAGCTGTTCTTCAATATACTTTTCTACCAGAGAAATCTGTCACGGTGGAAAGGATCTTGGTTTTAGGAAAACAAGGCTGCTTTTCAGAAAGCCCGGCCTCTAGTCCTTTGCAAACATTTCTTAAGAGCCTATTCTCTGCGCCAGGTTACATCCTCAGCGCCGGGGGTACCAATAAAATGAACCACAGCGCCCATCCTCAGTGAGCATGCGCCCTGGCCCACGCCGGAGAGCGCCTGCGCAGGGATTTACACTGCCAGGAGGAACACGGCACGGAACACGCTGACGTAGGTGGAGGCAGGGGACTGCAGGGCTCATAACGCCCCCGTGGCGAGAAGTGAGGCATGAAGTAAGCGTGACCTTTTTTTTCTCGGGTAGATGAAATATGTGCAAAAAGAACGTAAAGAGAGGTATATTGTTGGAGGTAACCACAGGCTCCTTATAAGCCGAGGCTTGTGTGGAGAAAACCATCGAGTCCGCCATGTTTCTAAGATTAAGAAAGTCTGGAGGATCAAACCTTTGCCCAGACAGATGACATCATTCCAAGAGGTTGAGGCCTCAACGCAATGGAAAGACCCGAGGGCCTAGACTTGAGACTCCTGGGTTTTAGTCTTGGTCTTCACACCAACTAGTTAATGGTCTTGGTTTTCACTTCTGCCTAACAAGTCAGGTAGTACCTGACTGGATATTTAGTAGAAAAAAATACAGTTGCCCCTTGAACGATGAGGGTTTGAACCGCGTGGCTCACATATATGTGGACTTTTTTTTTATTTTTATAAATACAATACAGGACTTTAATTGTATTTTATGACTTTAATAACATTTTCTTTTCCCTAGCTTCCTTTATTATAAGAACACAGTATAGGATACCTATACAAAATATGTGTTTATCAATTATTTCTGTTATTGGTAAGGCTTCCAGTCAACACAGGCTGTTAGTAGTTTTTGAGGGGTCAAAAGTTTTTTCCACTCCGTAGGCATCAGGACCCCTAGTCCCCACATTGCTTAAGGGTCAGCTGTAGTGTGTGCAAGTCCAAAGGTCAAAGCACATACAGGCAGGGTATGGCGAACCCATATATAATAACTGAAAACAGGATTATGATCAAACCATTTTTTAAAAACAGAAGTTGGACAGAAATCACCAAACACTGCAGAGGAAAGCAATGGGAGGTGAGAACTAGACTGAATTCTAAACAATTCCTGACAGGTATTGGTGGCAGCTTCTAAAAGTGCAGCAAATGTCATTATCTTTTGGTTCTAAATTCACATTTTAAAGAACCCCCAATCTCTGGGGAGAGAAACAAAACCACTTACGTATTCGTTAAAAATAGGGGTGTAGGTGAGTTTATTCTCTTCTGTGTCTTCAAACTCCTGATAGTACTTGTCCATGAAATTTCTCTGTAATAACTGGAACTCATCATCTGAACCACAACAGGAGAATGTTAGGCTTTTTGGTGGAGACTAAAAACCTTTCTGACTGGTAAGCAGGCAGGAATTCTGTGCCAGCACAACTGCTTTCTCAGTGGCCGGTCTCTAGGAGAGGGAAAGCTACAGATGTTCTAAGCAAGTGTTCATTATGACACCAATGTTCAAATAGCCCTATCCAGTCTTTTTATTAATTAGTAAAAAATACCAAAATTTTTAAAATTGTGAAAACATATACCTCACATAAAATTCATGGTTTTAACTGTTTTTGAGTATGGTTTGGTGGCGTTAAGTACATCCCTATTGTTGTGCAACCATTACAACTGTCCTTTGGTCCATTTTAAACACACCCATATAGGATGGCTTGGGAACTTCTTCACATTCCTTTTCCACAAAGGACTGGAATGGTTCTCTTGTAATAGGATTTCATTAGCTATAGTAGAAACAGTGTAGTGATTAAGCATATGGGCTCTGATCCTAGCTCAGGTGCTTAAACTGTGTGACCTTGGGCACATTTTCTAGTATCTCTAAGCCCCACTTTTGTCAACTGGAAAATGAGGATGATCAGAGTACCTATCATAAAGGACTGCCAGGTGGCATTTGGATGGATTCATATTAGCTTATAGCAAACACCTAAATGTAAGAGAATAGGGAATTTTAACAAGAGAGTATTACTCCTGAAAATAAAAGGAAATACCCCGAGCTTAAAGATGGCTCCTTTTTCCATGGCACACAGGGTGCCCAAAAGGACAGAAGAACTCAAAAGTATTCCTGAGGATTCCCCAGAAACCCTCAGATTCACACAGGACAAGGGCTTACTGGTGAAACCTCTGTATTTACGTGTTAAGGGTGTCAACATTTTTGCGACCTCTTCTGAAGATACAAAAGCTTGGGTCAGTAATTTTCAGACTAGACTAGAGACTATGAAATACCACCAAAATAATGGAGTCATTTTTTGTCTAATTTTAAAAAACTCAAAGTTTTCCACTTCCATATATTTTGTCTTAAACCTTGGGCGCCTGTTACTGCTTATTATACTTAGGTCTGCATGCACCAAAACGAATGCACAAAGAGGAACTCAGAACCTAGGAAAATACAGAACCAGCTCAAGTATGGCATTTTATTTTCTTCATGAAAACGTGTGCTATGGCTATGGTATTATGCTGGTGGTTTATGTCACAAAAACATTAATGCTCAAAACTGAAAATGGGATTCCTCTTACTCTGAAATAATGTAGGTCAGTTTTGCCAAGTGCGTCCTAACTTCTAGGGCCCATTACCTGAATCCATGGTTATTAGTTGTTAAAACAAGGGGGGATGTTTGCCTCTAAAATCACAGTATGGCTTACTTAATACTACTCTTTGCTACATTAAGATTTATATGCAGCTTGCTGTTTTCTCTCCAAATTAACTCCCCAAACCACAAGGGTCTAAGAACTGAAGAGCACAGGTTAGACGGAGGCTCGAGGCTCGAGGAAGCTTACCCATGATAATGTCCTCTAAATATCCAACTACAGCATCAAATTCTGCATCAGAGGCGGAAGAGCTGAAAAATATACCTGGATTAGGTGCTGTTTCAAAGAATTCGCTTAAAAAAGTGCATAAGGGACATTTTCAAACGTGCCTAAAAACAGCAAAAGGAACTTCCCATCACCCAGCTTCAGCCATTAAGAATGATTATTGGCTAAAGCAATTCCAAACAGGAAACATGTTTGACATGTTCGTGATATTGAAGTTGAATGGCTCCATTTTCAGAAAACCCGTTAGGACACAAGGAACGACAAAAGGAACAAATAAAGGGGAGCAGCGGCTCTCACGGCACATCTTAAGGCTCCTCATGTTTGTCCTTCGGGTTTACTCACCGCATCTTCGCTATCACCCCACACCTATCGTCTTGTGAGCGTGAACCTGGCACCAGCGAGATACTGGCCAGGGGGACAATCGGATCAGGAGTCCCCAGAAGTGGCGATGGAGGAGGTGGTGGTGGTGGAGGGTCCTCTGACCTGTGGTCGGCCTCGGCAGCTCAAAGCTGCCAGGTTTTGCTGACGACTAGGGGTCGCAGGCGGAGGGATTGTGATGGAGGCGTTGCTCAACGCATGATACTCGCCCGCACTCCCAGCTTGAACCCGGCGTCGCTGCGGCCGCGCCTTCGGCAGCGGGAACTTGGGCGGAGCCATGGCGGTCCCTCGTCCCCATCCCACCCCTCCAGGACACCCGCTTCTCAGGGCGGAGGCCCAGGCGAGCGCCGGGCCGCATCACTCACAAGGACAGCGCGAAGCTCTCTTCCTCTAGGGCGTCCATCGCCGCCGCCGCCGCCGCATCCACCCGCAGAGCGAGCGGGCCAGCCGGCCTCCTATCCCGTCCGCGGCCCGGGCCCAGCCTCGGCTCTGCTCCGTAGAGCCGCAACCCGCATCTGGGAGGCCTCGCCCGCTCACGGCGCAGCCGGGGTAGGCCCTACGTGCGAGGCCCGGGCCTCAGGCTCCCCTGGAGCGGCCACGCGCCTGCGGGGCCCTCACAATCAGCCAGGTCTCTCAGAGTGCGTCGCGGCCGCAGCGGGGTCCGGGCGTCAGTTACCTACAGCCCCGCGCCGCGCCCCGTCTCCCGTCACCATGGCCACCAAAACCCCTTCCGCCGCCTCGCGCTTCCCGGGAGCCAATCCCAGGCGCGCGCTATTTGACGCCGTGGGCGGGGCAAAGATGGGGAAAGGAAGTGAGGGGTAGCGGTAGAGCCGCGTTAGGGGAACTCTATGGGACTCAGTGGGACGTTTGGGGTTATTGGAGTGTTCTCTGGCGTTGTGGCGGTTAAATCTCACGTTGCCCCTATCTTACGGAAGAAGGAATGGAAGCGAAGAGCCTCAGTTTCTTCACTTGCAATTCGGGAATAAATTATAGGATTTAAGATTAAATAGGGGCCGCTTGGGTGGCTCAGCCCTTGAGAGTGGGACTCTTCCGCTCAGATCATGATCTCAGGATCCTGAAATCCAGCGCTGCGTGGGACTCCGCACTCACAGCGGAGTCAGCTCCCTCTGCCCAAATCTCCGTGCTCTCTAAAATAAATAAAATCTTTTTAATTTTTTGAAAGATTGACTTCATTTGACAGAGAGAGCACAAACTGGGGGAGCAGCAGGCAGAGGGAGAAGCAGGCTCTCCACTGAGACCGTGATGCGGGGCTCCATCCCATAACCTTGGGATCATGAGCAGAGCCAAAGGCAGCCGCTTAACGACTAAGCCACCCAGGTGCCCCAGTTACTCCCTTTAGTGGAAGGAAAGCCACCACAAGAAGTAGACGTAATTTACATCATAAAGATAATAGTCACACATCATAAGTATTATTCGGTATTTATTAGTTTCTTGGCTAATTAAGCGAGATAAAAGTTGACAATCACTGAACCAACGTAATCAGTAATCGGATAACTTCCAGGAAAACTCCTCTCCCAAACTGCCAATTTTTGCAAAAGGATTCCTGAGAGCTGATTTCTCTTGATTGGACTACTAGGCCTTATGTATCTGGTTGTATTAGATTTAGGTTTGATCTGAGGGTCAGATGGCCAGCCTGAATGGGTTGATATTCTGAACGTATATAAAATAGATAAAAGTGAGGGGTGCCTACGGGAGGCTCACTGGGTTGGTTGGGCGATCCTCTGTTTTTGACTCAGGTGGTGATCTCCTAGTCATGGTCAAGGGATGGAGCTCCTCCCCTCACCCCTGCGTCCCTCCACCTCAACCCGCCATGGGGCTCCTCCCTCAGCGGGGAATCTGCTTGTCCCTCTTCCTCCCCCTCTACCCCTCCCCTGCTCACACATCCTTAATGTCTCTCTCAAATAAATAAATAACATTGGGATCTGGAACTAAACCTGGTTACCAAGACACAGTTGCATCCAGGGTGAATGAGATCAGTTCTCAGAGATACTCTACTTAGCTCCAGTTAGAGGACAGGTATCTATAAAGGTTTGCTGATTAACTAGACTGAGTTATATTTAAGTTAAGCGGTTTTGCAGCTCAGAGCAAACTCAGCATTTCCTCATGACCTGTTTTTCTCTATAAACCACTTATTTCTTCTGGACTAAATGAACTTGCCCACCCTTTTTCTAAATCATGTATGGGATCAGAGTGGAGTAGGAAACTTGATGATTTCATCTGTTCTGGTTTTCTGTTGCTGTTACAAGACACCCCCAAATTTAGTGTCTTAAAACAGCAATTAATGTGCTTACTAATCTGCAATTCGGGCAGGACTTGGTAGTGACAGCTAGTCTCTGTTCCACTTGCCATCATTTGGGGCAGCTGGAATTTGGCTAGATGGAGGAGCTTCTTCCAACACACTCATTCACATGACTGGCAAATTATTGTTGGCTCTTGGCTGGGAGCTCAGCTGTGAATGTTTATTAGAGGACTGGTGACTAGTAGGGAGGGGGTTCCTCATTCTCTTTTCCTGTACATCTTCCCAGGGATGCTTGAGTTTTCTCATACCATGGTGGCTGGGCCTAAGAGCAAATATTTCAAGAAGTTGCCATTTAGGTACTGGAAACCAGCACAGTCTCACTTCCACTGAATTCTATTGGTCAAACAAACACAGAGCCTATCCAGGTTTTAGGAGAGGGGACATATACGTCATTTATAGATGGGAGGGATGTCAACTTGTGGCTATTTGCAATCCACTTCACCATGTCTGGCTTTTTTTTTAAATTTTTTTTAAAGATTTTATATTTTTGAGAGAGAGCACAAGTAGGGGGAGATGGAGAGGGAAAAGGAAACTCCCCGCTGAGTGGGGAGCCCAGCATGGAGCTGGATCGCAGGACCCTAAGATCATGATCTAAGCTGAAGTCAGACTCTTAACCAACTGAGCCACCGGGGCTCCCCCACCATGTCCACCTTTAAGAACAAATGGGCGTAAAGATAATAATAGGACCCCATTACTCAGGCATGTGCCAGTTACTGTGCTAAACACTTATAAATACATTGTCTTTTTTTGAAATACTTGAAACTCTACGAGAAAAAAAAGATTGAGAAATACAGAAGTATTTGCATGTGGGTGGTAAGGTAAGTGGCATCATGGAGCTGGGACTGGGTCCAGGCTTACTCCCAAGGGCATGTTTAACCAGTCATGCTTATATATTGCTCCAATCCCTGAGTTCTCATACAATATTCCTAGAAATCAGAACATGATGTTTTCTGCTAAAAATAGAATGTTGGCCTTTAAAGAAAAAATTTAACACTTATTTGAATATGTTTTTCATTAATAATCATTTTTAAATCCTTTGATTGTGGGTAAGCATTAAAAATTTTTTTTTTAAAGATTTGAAGGGGGGAGGGGCAAAGGAGGAGCATCCCTGCTGAGTGAGGGGCCAGATTGGGAGCTTGATCCCACAACCAATGAGAGCATGACCTGAGCCAAAACCAAGAGGCAGACACTCAACCTGCAAAGCCACCCAGGTGTTCCTATATTAAAAATTGTTTAATGGGGGCTCCTGGGTGGCACAGTTGGTTAGGCGTCCAACTCTTGACTTTGGCTCAGGTCATCTCAGAATTGTGAGATGGAGTCCCCTGTTGGGCTCCACACTCAGTGCTGAGTCTGCTTGTTCCTCTCTCTCTGCTCCTACCTCCCCACCCAGCTCATGCTCTGACTCAAATAAAATCTTAAAAACAATAGTTTTAAGTGAATAAAAATGGACAATCTTGGAAAGAGCTGAACTTCGTTGAACAGTTTGTTTCCTAGATACATACTCAGGATGTTGGAAATTCATGCAAAAGTCATTTTCTGCAGATGAAATTTTTATTTCTGTGATTGAATCCTTGTTTCCTGGCATGCAAATGGCACCATAACTTTACCTTGCTTTACTAATATCATTCCAAAAAGATAGTAAGTCATTAAAAACATTTTTTTTTTTTTTTACTAGAACTCTGGGAGCATTTCCCCAATAAATCATTGGAGAAATGCCGTAACTTAATTTTTTGTTTTTCTATGTGGTACAATGTATCATCAGTAAACACCTAGCTTTCAATTTTGCTTAAAATGTGTACGTGCAATGCAGAATATTGATCTGTTTATTCTCTTTCACATTGTTATTCCCTAGTTTTTTTCTCTTTTATGTGGTTTTTCCCTTTGAAGCAGTTCCAAGATTACAACTTATGAACAAAATTCAAGGGTAGATTTCTAGAAAGCTAATAGGCTCCCGTATTCCTTTGATTTGTGACAGATTACCTATTAATTTTACTTTTCTCCACTGAACTTATAGACCACCTTCACTTCACTTCACTTCAAAGTCTCCCTGTTGGACTTCAAATTTCCATGATTTGCTTGTCCTCTGTCCTGCATACCCCGCCGCCCTTTTCCATTCTCCATATAGATGCCAGAGCTATCTTTTAAAGTTATTTATCAAAGCACTTCCATACTTAAACTCTTTTTGTTTTCTATTGCACTTAGGATAAAATACAAAATCTTTAGCATGGCTTCATGAGTGGTCCCCTGACTTCTCCAACAGGGGAGCACACTGTTGTACCATCTCAGTTCCTACCTTACTAGCTATGGGGGCCTCCCATCAGATCCTGAAGCTCACTGAGCTTTCCTTCTTGTTAGGCCTTCACCTAGAATGTTGTGTTCCCACAGCTATATAGTCCTTGAAGCTTGTCCTCAGTGTCTCTACCTGGCCATGTCCTACTTTTTCCTTGGAGTTTTTCTGATAGTTAACTTGCTCAGTGAGGTTCCTTCTGCTCCTTTCTACCCATCTAAATTAAGTGCCCCCATTCTCTCTCACAGTACCCTGATCTTTTCTATTAAGGCACTATTAAACAAATATATTGTTTTCTCCCCACTATCAGACATAAGCTCCATGAACATATCTGTTTTGTATACCACATAGGCACAGTGCCCAGAACATATTAGGTGCTCAGTAAAGATCTGCAGGATGAGTAAATGATTACCTTTGCTTCTTAATTCTTTTTACTTGACTCTCTCCTACCCTGGAAAGGAGCCCTTAAAACTGAGAGGATGAGGTCTTGGAACCTTAGCAGTAGGCATCAATGAAAGTTGTGAAATCTTAGTCAAAAAAGGCAACAAATGTTTTATTTCTTCAATGCAAATTACCGTATTCACCACAAGCTAAAGAAGGGAACATATATATATATATATATTTATATATATATTTGAATTTATGGAAGACTAAAGACATGGAAAAAAATCCAGCACCCCAACAAGTACGGC